TTCTTGGTTGCTTTCATGCCAGACATAAAAAGAAAAAATTCTAATGCCAATTTACTTACCTTTTTTTTTTATTTGGCATTTTGAAAATGTATCACTGTTTGTTTTGGCATTTACTTAGAAGCCATTGGCACCCTTTGCTTGTGTGAAATATTAAAAAAAAAAAAAACGCACAACATAAAAAATACCAAAAAATGAATTGATCAATTTGGGCCTAACTTTATTTTATTGGATAGAAAATTTTTTCTGGTGCTTTTTACTGCTGTCTGTACTTCCCCCACTCCACTTAATTTCTTTGTATATTCCCAGGATATTACTTATTTGATGGAACATTAGACAGAAGGTCAAATAATCTAGAGTTCAATTTTTGATGGCAGAGGAGGATAGCTTACTCAATAAGACATCAGTTAAGACTCCTCATCTGGTGATTGGCACCAGAGAATAGCTCAACTGATAGAACATTAGCCTCAAGATAAGAAGGTTAAGAGATCAATATTTACTGCCAAAATGGTAGATCATTGTATTGATTGGAAGACGTTGAGCTGTAATTATTAGTGCTGGGAATTAAACAAGAGATTTTTACAAGTATAAAGTTCATGTTTGCTTGAAAGTATTTTAGAATAAAGATCACATAGGTCACAGGTTTTTCTGCTCTGGTCGAGAAATAACTTAGACTTTCAACCTGGAAATGTATCCATGCATAAGAAACATTTATTAAGACCGTCATATTTTTTTTTACTTCTTACCGCTTCTTTACATTCATGCATTATTGATACACCCAATCTGTTCTATTGACTTTAAAACTATATTTTGTTGCTTTGATCATTGCAAATGAATTTTTTGGGAATATAGTGTGGTTAGAATATTTCTTGCTATAAGTTAGCGACGGAGAGGGAGAAGATGGGAGTAAGCATAAACTATAAGAAGACAGAATTCATGGTCATCTGTAAAAAGATGAGCCTGAAATACAATTTGCAGATCAGGGACACTAAAATCAAGCAGGTGCAGAAATTTAAATATCTGGGAAGTGTTCTGACAAAGGACAGAAAGTGCAATGCTGAGATCTGAAGACGTATTGGGATGGCCAAAAACGCTAGGCGGAGTATTACAAGACAGGAGAGTTTCGTTGGTAATAAAGAAAAGAGTGTTGAACTGCTACATGATATCTGTCCTCCTTTACAACAGCAAATGTTGGATGGTCTCCTAAAAATGGAGACTTGATACAATAGAGGTGTGGTTCTACGGAAGGATGCTAAGGATACCATGGACCAAACATGTGAGCAATGATTAGGCTTTGGAGAAGATGCAAATATAAAAAGGAAACTCATATTTAACATCAGGAAGAGGCTGCTGAAATTTCTGGGATGTGTAATGAGAAAGGAGGGCTTGGAAAATCTGATACTCACAGGGCAGATAGAGGGGGAAGAGGGACAAAGGAAAGCAATGGTTGACATACTTAACGGGCTGAAGCAAGTGGATGTCAGAACAGGGTCTGGGAGAAATAGCAAAAAGTCAAAGCTTATTGAGAGCTATAAGGAACAGGAAAAAATGGAGAGCCATGATTGCTTATGTCCTGAAGGGACATAGCACATAAAAGAAAAAAAAAACTATGGTTAGTCTAAGAAGCCAGGTGCAAACAATTGAGAATTCTATTGAACAATCAACCTAACAAATGACAAATCTTATGATCCAAATTCTGATGATCATAGCTCATAACAAAATTAACCTGAAAGTAGGCTAAGAACAGTGCATTTTTGTTAAAGACACTGGAACAAAGAATGTAATATTTATACTCAGAACAATACCTCAAAGAGTAATATCACTGCAAAAGGAAGTATACCTATGTTTTATAGATTATGCAAAAATATTTCATAAAGAACATCACAAAGAACTGTTTGAATTGCTAGGTAGGCTGATTTTTTTGTGGGTGGTGAAGAATATTACAACGATCCAGAAATTATACTGGAAGCAAACCACCTGCATATGGTGGTTGAAGTATCTTCTGGAATAAATTATGGTTAGTTTCTTGTTTTGGAATAATCTTTTTTAAATATATTTTCACGAGAGTATTTTTGGAATATCATGTGATTAGAGTATGCTGTTTTCAATAAGTACTCTTATGCAACATTTATTTCCAGATCAAACATTTCCATTTTAATTGCAGCTAACAAGTTCCTCTACCCATAAATTTTCCTCACTGATTACAAAATAATGCTTTCAGCATCATCAACACTCTCATGATTGGGTGCAGTGGTATGCTCTCTGTGCAACTGAACACCTTACCAGCTCCCTCCATATGTATTGTGCGTGTGCCAGTATCTGGATTGAAAGCTGGAGAAGTATTTAATCATACTTAATATGTTTTGGGCAAGTAGATATATAAATAATGCTGTTGATTATTCCTAGACAATGAATCTTTAATATATACAAACCTGGACACCTGTCACTAGCTACTTTTTTACTTAGATGAGTGGCCAATGAGAAACATGAGGTGCAATATGCAACCTGAGGGATAGACTAATCAAAAGTTAGTAAATAGTATCAAGTACTATAAGCAACCAGAGGCCTGTGTGATAGACTAAAAGGAAATTTTGAACTGAATCTTTTATTTAATCTACTGGGGTAGACTGTTCTCATTCCACTGCCCATGTCTAAGGATTACTTGTCTAGTTCTTATTTTTAGTACTGCTGAGTTATTGCTTGCAGTTTCCACTGAGTCCAAGTACACAATGCCCATGCCTGGGATTGAACCCACCATTACTATTTCACCAAATTCATGAACTAACATTTTAATGCCCTAGACTTACCCAGATCAACATAAACTTAATGAAGGCTGGAGAGCACAATGAATAAAACATTGCGAACAACAAAGATGAGGGCAATAGTCTGAATGGAAATAGTGTAAATAATGATCTCTCTCTCTCGAGATATATATATATATATATAAATCTTATGTATAATGTACAGAGTATGTGTGTTTGTGCCCAAGCAACTCCTCCACTCACACTGGTCTAATTTCATTGATTCATAGCTCATTCAAAAGCTCTAGAAAAGTTAGGCTCAGGAAACAATTTTCATTGGGCTCAGATTCAGGATTGCCAGATTATGTGAGCTTAAAATATATATTAATATATTATACTAGCCATTATCATTCCTTTTGTGGTTCTTATTTTCTTTTTGTATCCAAAATTGCAGCTATCTTAAAATTTTAATAATTCTTCCATTGCCACTTAATTTAAAGAGAATTTGATATATGTAAATCCTTATTTTCCATATAGACAATTATTTTTATTTCATGGGTAACAGAACAGTGGACAATTTATAAGATAAAGTTAATATAGCGTTAAGATGGGAAAATAGAAATTAGAATTAGTTATACATTCAACATTTGAAGAGTTAGAGAAACATAATAGCTAATTCTGTAAAACCTATATTATGGAATCTATATGAATAAATGCCAAATTGAATCTCAATTGCCCCACAAATTCTGAGATTAAAAAGGTCCAACTCTACTTTATAGTAATTTGGTGTTTACTCGACATTTTGACCAAATGTGCGGCAGGCGGAATATCCCTGGTGCTTCTGTGGGTGGAGAAGGAAAGGAGTTTCACTGACCAAGAATAATGAACTACCCTACTAGTATTGGTGTGTGTGTGTAATATATATATATATGATTGTGTGTACATGTATATAAAGTGTGTGTGTGTGTAGTTGACCGGTGTGATTGAGTGTTGTTGAATTAGAAACACATGCTATTCATTTCTGAGAGAAGAAGTTCCAACTACAACAAAATTGTGCACTTGAATTAAGTCCAAATGAAGATGTAAAGAAAACAAATAAACAAGACCGATATATATATATATATATATATATATAAATATATATATATATATATATATGTCAAGAAATATATGTATTAAACAACAAATTTACAAGTGACAAAGACATTAACATTTGTGTTTGTTTGTGAACGTAAAGATTTTGTATTTTGGTGAATGTTTGTACGTATGTGTATATCTATAATGTTCACAGCATCTTCCACAAATGGGAAAACACCATCTTTATGAGAGATCACATTTTTAAATGTGTCCACTGAAATGCAAAGTGAAAAAGAGAACGAGGCAATAAGTTGCCCAGTATTTATAGTGTAGGGAGTGTGACCCCTAGTGAACAGTTATGAAATTAAGGAGGAGCTAACTCTAATATATATATATATATATATATATATATATATATATATATATATATATACAGACACACTTTTTTATATACATATATACACAACATATATATATATATATATATATATATATATATATATATCAAAATATATATATATATATACAGACACACACTTTATATTAATTTTCAAAAATATATATATATATATATATATATACATATTAATTTTCAAAAATATATATATATATACAGACACACACTTTATATCATATATATATATATATATATATATATATGCTAAGTTAATTTTCAAAATTGATAAACCTTCTTGATCTTTGCGAATTTGCTATAACCCTCTGGTGTCAAATTTTTCTAAACGTTTTGCACTTCTGTTATGTTCTTGCACCTTTTGTAGCACTTTAGGATACATTTCTTTTTTTAAAGATTAATATCATTTAAGCAATTATTTTTAATCAGTTTCACCTAAAAAGAACACATTTAGTATGTAAATTTTAATTGAGAAACTCAGACATGAATGATTTATTCAAACTGCTTCATTCTCCATGTGTGTCCCCAGTGAGAGTTGGAATGCTCAGCTCTTCCCGGATAAGATTGTCCCTTCTTATATAAGAGAATATCCCAGGTGAGCAACTTCTGAAGATTAACAAGGAAATCTTTATTTTCTTGTTACAAAAGAATCAAATATTATACAACAATAATGTCAATTCAAAGTAAATTTTTATTCTTTACCTAAATATACTTTCTATTTACAATACAAAATCTTTCGCTGTTTTCATCTGTGTTTCTTTTTCATTGTCCAGCTGAGAAGAAGATCACATTGAACACACGAGAGTCCACCCAGCCGTTTAGCAATGCTGAAAGCCATCCTGCAGATTCTACCTCCTCTTCATCCACTGCAGCCCAAAGAATTAAATTTAACATCAACACAAATAACAGGTGAGTGTGTATTGTTTGGCTTAAATATTTTCAGTGAAAATGGCAAAGTTATAGAAACTATTTTTACAAATCTAACATTTTTAAGTGTTTTTCTCAAACATCCTTTTAGGTTCATGAACTTTCAATTGACAAGTCATCACCTTTCTTTAATTGATACTGTGAAATTCATTATTTGCTAATGAAATAATGGAGTTCTTTGTTTGTTAATGTAAGCCTTACATTTGTCCAGTTTAAATTTTCATGGCATTATATGTTTCTCTCTAGTGTCTTTGAGAAGTCACATTTAAAGATGCAGAAACAGGAAATAGTCATGATTTATTTACATGAAATATGAATCTAACATTGTTTTTCTGTTGTTCCTTTAGCTGTCATACAACTTTATTGTAATTTTGAAGCAGATGTTTTATAGCCAGCTACTTGTCTGAATGCTAGTCTTTTAGCATTTGCTAACCAAGGATAAATTTATCTTTGGCCTTGCTTTTAAACTTTTTCACCTGTTAATTTTGTTGGCTTAAATCTTTCAAGGAAAGTGTGGACACAATTTTATATAACAATAGTTACAAAGGTTTTAAAAATCTCATGGCATTGCTAATTCATACATTTTTATATCTTGAGATTGTCAACAACATCCAAAGATGAAGTAATGCTTACTCAACTAACCATATCTCACCCTTTCATACTTGCTGAATAATGAAGCTCAACCAACAGGTACAACATGCCGAACTGCACTCACGATGAAACCCATTTTAACTGAATGTACCCACTTAGCATCTGTAAGACATAAATACTACAAAGAAAACAACATGAGACAACTATTTGAAAATACTGAAACCATCAACATAATGTCCTCCATTAAAGAAATAGTTTTATACTAAAACAAATAACACCGACAATAGATCATCTACAAACTATATATCTATAAATCATATGTTTACCCTGAAAGTATAAAATTATGTATATCTGTAATTGAAGGCATAAAATTGCATTCAAAATATTTAGAGTTCAGCATTAAATAACCCAGAGAGATTGGATGGCAACCAAAATAACAAACCACCAAAATTCAAACAAGGGTCTGTCATGTTATTATTCCTGATCTGGTATCTAAACTTCAGTCACTTTTTCACCACTGTTAAATGAATTCCCAGTTTTTTTTTTTTATAAATAGTTTCATGGCGATTGTACTAATGAGCTTTTCTCCTTGGTATCTCAACTGTATGAATTTAAATGTACTACTAGATTGCCAAATAGGTCTCATTGTTTTACTCTTGAAATAACTAGATGTAACCAAAAGTCTTTTCATTTCACCCTCAGTTGCCCCTTGCTGAAATGATTGAAAAAAAAAAATCAATCTGTATATATTTAATAAAGTCAAAACATTTATAAACCTTATTAAATAATTTTAATTTATTCTTAAATGTTTCAGAATGAGAACCTGATTACTTTTGTAATATTTTTAAAAATTTATCATCAGTTTAAATGTAACTATCAAGCACTGACAAGTATATACAAAGTCTGATCAAAAAGTATCAGAAAACTACAAGACGTATTAATTTGGTATTTAATCTCCTTTGAAGTAGTCCCCTTCTGAAGCTATGCACTTTATCCAGCATCATTTCCACTGATGGAAGCATTTCTGGAACACTTTCTTTTTTTTTTTTTGCCTTGTCACATTCTCTTGAATTTCTTTGATGTCTGGAAATCTTGTTCCTATTGTGAAATTTGATTTTTTTTTGAATAGGAAAAAATGTTGCAGTGTGCAAGATCTGGGGAATATGGTGGCTGTTGCACCTGGGGATGTAATCTTGTACAAAAAATTGCTACACAAGCCATGGTCACTAATGTAACCTCTGTGGTGTAGTGAGATGACAACACTTGACACTCTTTCTAAGCACTACCATAAACAACAAAAGTTAGTGAGAACATAATAATTTAGTGTATATGTGTGACAGATTTCAAGATCAATCTGTGTCAAGCAGCTTCCCTCTGCTTACTTTAGCTCCATTACCATAGCAACACTCCTGATGCTTCACCAGAGTAAAAAAGTATTTCTTACAACGTGCAGGGAATAAACTCATTTCTTGATTTAGTTTTAATGTTTAGCATATTAATTTTACTTGAATACTTTCTGCACAAAGCAAACCAACATTAGTTTTTTTTTTTAAAGTGATCTTATTCTTAACTAATGAAAAAGCTACTGTGCCTTGAAAGTAGCTTTTCATGAAAAGTCTGAGAGATTCCTGTTTATACATATTGTTGTAGAATAGGACTCAGCGTACTTCCTACTCTTCCCTACTACTGAGACAATTGACTGCTCCTCCTTATAAATATAGCAAGTAGCCACATTAGAGTAGGATTTGAGTTGTA